CTTCCTCTTTCTTCACCTCATTCACATCGCATGTGACGTGTAACCGAAAGCACCACATTAACAGGAAATTGGGCCACTTTTACTTCATCTGCGGTCTCACATAATACCTTGGCATTGTCCCTGCAAGTCTTTGAGCAGTGAGTGTTTATATTGTGGTAATTTAAGATTTTACACAATGTTTCTTACTCAAGCAATAATAACATTTCCTCTGTATTTCTGCTTTAGATTTTTGAGAATGAGCTGCTGGGATTGTTTCTGCTGCAGTCACCATTATTAATGCCTATTCTTTTTCTTTCTTTCTCTCAGATCACTAGATGGTCGGTTGCAAGTATCTCACAGAAAAGGACTCCCTCATGTGATCTACTGTCGTCTTTGGCGCTGGCCTGACCTGCAGTCTCATCATGAGCTCAGAGCCATTGAACTCTGTGAGTTTGCCTTTCACATGAAAAAGGACGAGGTCTGCGTCAATCCCTACCATTACCAGCGAGTCGAGACACCAGGTAATGCAGCCTGATTTTTATGAAAGCACCAAGCACACTATCAGACAGTATCATTCGTTTAGACCTGGGGTTGATCGCAGTACTGCGGGGGGTCTGCCAATTATTATATGATCACAAACATGTTTTAATGAAAATATGAATTAAGGGGTGGTCACATTAGATTTTGAGAATGCACTTTTTTTTTGCACAATGCAACAGATGGGATGTGACATCTTAAATGTAACTAATAAACTGAGCTTTGGCATGCTTTTTGTTTCTGATTTCCTGCATTTGTATGTGTTTGAATGGAAGTCAGAGGAATTAAAAGTGTAGTGTTAAGTGTAGTGTGACTGCACAATTAAACAAAAAATATGATAATTAACTGTAATTTATAGCTTTACCAAAGCTAAAAATGTTTTATTTAATAAAAATGATTAAATAACATTAAAATGTAATGACCATGTAATTGACTCTGCAATACTCCCATCTCCATCTCTTAAATTCCTGTCCAGACTCTACACTGTTTTATCTAAATAAAGGCAAAACACCTAAAAACTATTTAAAAAAAATTGCTGTTTCATGCTGTTATGATCTTCTGATCCTTATATTACTCAACATATTTAGCATTGGGGCTGTGCGATTTAATTGAAATCGCAATAAAATCATAATAAAGAATGCACGATTTCTAAACCACGAAAGCATGATTTCGTGTTATGCCAAGTTCTAGTGCGAGCATAAAAAAGACTTATGGTTACGACATGGAGAAAGCACAGAAACAGGGTACTTGTGTGCTGTCTGAGACGGTTTTCTGTGCACACACACCCAAAGCCGTTTCTCAGAACACCGAATTTAGCTCTCTTTCATGTCTTTTTGCGCTTTCTATGTTCAGGTTTTAAGCTAACGTAAAGAGTTGAGAAAGAAAATGCAGGTGTGTCAGTATATGAGATCCGTGCATGAGATCTTAAAGGGGTCATCAGATGCAAAATTCACTTTACATGTTGTTTGAACATAAATGTGTGTTGGAAGTGCGAGTACACGTCCACCCTATAATGATAAAAATCCACCCATTCAACAATCCATTTTTTTTAAATCCATATTTTAAAATCCCCTTTCTCAAATCAGGCTGTTCTGAGATTCCTGGCAGAGTGACGTAGTTCTGCACAGTCCCCTCCCACGACAAGGTCGTCTTACCTTAGACCCGCCATGAGTGAGCTGTGAGCTGTCCGCCATTGTGTCGACTCTGGTGCAGGGGAAGACAAGAATGTCTCTGATTAAGTGATTGAGGTGTTTTGTTGTAGGATGTAATAATGAACATAGCAGTCGTCATTTACTCACGACATCTGAGCCGCTGAAGACGCAGAGGATTAACGTCACTTTCGCTTTTGAAGGGAATGCGCTAATCCCCCATCTGCCTAAATGCATCTATGTTCGTGCGAATCATTCTTGATAACTTTAATAAGGATTAACCTAAACTAATTTATACAATGAAGACTATGCAATGTTGTTTTACATTTGGTTATTTAAAAGGGTCATATGGTGCGATTTCAATTTTTCCTTTCTCTTTGGAGTGTTACAAGCTCTTGGTGCATAAAGAAGATCTGTAAAGTTGCAAAGACTAAAGTCTCAAATCTAAAGAGATATTCTTTATAAAATTAAGAGTCAACCACGCCTACCTAAAACGGCTTGTTCTAACACGCCCCCACATGTCTACGTCACGATGTGGGAAGATTTGCATAATGCCGCCCAAATGTTCACGCCGGCCGTTCCTCACTTTATCCCCCGGCCTCTGCTCACTCTAGGCCGCCGTGTGTGACGCTGTGTTTCGTTGT